GTTGAGGCATCAACACCAATCTCCAAGGCTGTTCTGAACTGGGCTTCTTTCGGTGGTCCATGCTAGCTGCTAGCACCACACAACTGCCCGCCATAGTAAAAGCTAGTATTAAAGTACAATCGTTCAATCGTACATTTGAATGCGCAGTTGCATTGGGTTTGTATGCTTCTTCTATGTGGGCTTGTGGCGGGTCAAGCTTAAAGTTGAGCACAGGCGGCAGTCTGCAAAGGTCGATGCCAAGACGAAGTGCATTCTCATGCCGAGTCGACAGATCAAGTCCGGGATGGTTGGGTTGAAAATCACCAAATTGTTGGGGGCAATGTGGCAGAGGTCCGGGTGGAGTCAGGGAAGAGGTGCCAGAACACTGCGCATCAATGCGGGGTTCGCCCACAGGTACAGCTAGCACGAAGAGTCGTAGCCATTCGGTTGCTCACCACAACACGGCATGGAAGGGTTGTAGTACGGGCTATGGCCTTTTGACGGTAGGCAGTGCTCTCCTTGAAACTCGCGGATTCTGGGATTGTACTAGGGCATGGAGTGTGGGCCAGAACTCCGTAATGGGGCCCATTCCCAAGTCCCTTCAAAACTGTCTGAGCCCGCATTTGCTTAACCCCAAGCCCAACCCAAAACTCACAGGGGTGTAAGAGCTCGCGCCATGCGAATGAAGTGTAGCACAGTGCCGGTCGGCAGATGCCTTACGGTCCAGCCAGGTCCGATCCCTCACCGCTACAAAATTAAATAGCGTGTTGCTCAAGATAGTGCCATAGTGCCAAAGGTGGCTTGGACACTTCGACTTTGAACACCGCTGGAAACCGGTAAACTCTCAAGCGGCGAAAACATGGTTCATGGCTCAAAGCTGCCAAATCTCGTGGTGGCCTAACGTGAAGCGCCTCCTGGCGATTTGTTGCTGTGGTTGAGAGTTTTGTACTAGCTTGCTCGATAGATGCAGAGCCTTCCCAATAGCAAACCACACATTGTCTCATGTGCTACCACCACAATCGAACATGCAATTGTTACAGCTGCATATGCCGGTGGTTCGTGCATGTTCGTATCCGCTGTAGTCGAAGAATGGTTTCAGTTTACAGGTCGCAGTGGCTTCTCTCGCCTGCTTCTGCTTAGTTGTGTCCTACTTGCTTCAGCGATTGGTATTAATACGACGAAGCGCTGTTCAACGGCTGCCGGTACAGTTGCTATGGCTCGTGTGTATGTGCGTACGTAATATTATGGCAAAATCTGTTTACTTGGAGATAGTGTTTCTTCCTCGTTGCTTATTTATGATCACTACTGTAATCATAGAGCCGCCGTCTTTTGCCAGCACTGCAGGGTCCTCAGTACCCGTGTCACCGTGCTGCTTCCCAGTAGCAACCCAGCCCCGGAGCCGAAAAAGCCTGAAGCCCTCGGGCACCGCCGACCCGCACACAGAGCCAGTGCGCGAAAGCCCCGGTCTGCGAGAGATTCACAGTCAGGGTTTACTTGAGCTTGGATCTCAGCAGTGCCGGCTGCGTAGAGGAGAGGGTGTCCTCGGAGAGCACTCGGCATGAACCCAAACAGTAAGGCCCGTTTTGGGGCTTTCAACTCCAAGCGAACAGGGGGTGCTCTGACCTAGCGAGTCATGTGAGTGCAGCAGAGAAGCCTCCATCAAAAGCTGGACAACTCCTTGGATCTGCCCATGCCCTACCTTAAGAACCCAAAACCTACCTTTTTTGTAGGGTCCCTATAAATCCCATATTAGAGTTTATAATAGGAACCTACCAAAAAGTGGGTTTTGGGTTCTTAGGGTAAACAATCAAGAAGAACGACACACAGACACACACACACACACGCACCTTGTTGAGTCGCGGACGCTCTCTCGAGATCTGTTCTCAGCCCCTCCAAATGTTGCGGTGGCAGCCAGCAGATTTGCGCCAGTGGACTGAGATATGCCTAAATTGTAGATGGACCCTCGCAACTTTGAAGCGTCACGGCTTCGAAAGCTTGAAGATTTGGCCAGCTAGCACGCACACTTTGCAACAAACGTAGAAGGTCGTGCGTTCGGGACATGCCAGCACAACTAAGTGGCTCGTTTCCCAAGCCTTCGCCGCGGCAGTGATTTGCGAGTTTGCTTCATGTGCGGAGTGGCTTGCGAGGCGAAAGTATCGGGGGGCCAGCTACGCAGGATCGTAGCATTTAGATGATCTGATCCGTTTTGCGAACTCTTCACAGCAGAGCTCGGAGAAGTTACAACCGTAACCCCTATGCCGCGAAACGACTTTCGTAAGATCCCGTAAACTCCAATGTCCAAACCACTGACGCAATCAACTGCTGACCGCGAAGTTAATCGTGCTGCTTCGGCAGCGAGCGCCGTTAGCGCTCGGAGGATGTGGTTCTCTTGTGCAGCCTTCCCAGAACGCCGTTCGAGGTCAGCAGCCAGCATCCAAACTCAGAGAGATCACGGTATGAGCCCGGGCAAATGCGGGGTGACGATGGTTTGGTCTCATGTCAGCATAACAGAATCTCTTCAGTGCACCCTCGTTTGTTCAAAGATGTCTCAAGTTTCAGCATCTGACGCAGAGTTCGAGTCAAGCTTCCATGGCATCCTGTACCTCAAGATAGGACGTGAACACTTTGACATGCGAAGGTATAGCTTGATCGTGATGAGAACATTATACCGAAAGAGCCTGCGAAAAGCAGTCTTTCTCACCCACATTTAAGCTATTACTTGCGGACGAAGGTTCGGGAAGATCCACACAGACGACAGACGCCTCCCTGCTGTGACTCCCCACCCGGGGCATGGCAAAGTCTCGATGTTTGAACTCGGCGCAGTCGGCGGAGCAGAGTCTGATTTGATGTTGACATTCCCCGTAAACTTTGTCATAGTTGGGTAACATTTTACATTTTGAAGGGTACTTAAACACAATAAGGAATATAAATTTAGATTTTTAATACTACCCCAACCATGAACAAGGTAACATCGTGGTAGGAACGTGTATGCACAGTTGTAGCATTGGCCTTTGGTGACTTGACGCACAAACGCTATCTCCGTCAAACCCCGCCCCATATCAAAAGCCATGCGACCGCCTTGGCCAGCTGCACAGCACGGACAGAGATAGGATCCAGTGTTGGGGATAGGTATATCTTGCAAGAAGCCTGCAGCACCTTACAGGCCAGAGCTGTAAATTGAAGAGGCTTGCTTCAATTCCCCTTGCCGCACAGTATCTGGTTCGTGTGGAAACCTACGTAGCTGTATTTACTAAATATGAGCACATGTACGATCAGTATGTACGGATATGCAAACGCAGCAGTGTCAGCGACAGCTGATATTCCAGACACTGATTATTGCTAGTTTACACGCCTTGTCAACGCTTGAGTGCAGCTTCAAACAGCACATATCACACCACGGAACGCTGAAGGAAACGCCCAGATGAAGCTGTCTAGCAGCAGCACTACCATTGCCATCGGAACGTACGAAGGATTGTGCTTTACAATCCAAGCTGACGAAGCCAACAGTGCGCCTGTTTACTAGTGGAAGGCTCTCTCGGGCTTCTGACGGTGCTTAGGGTAGGACTTTCGACATCTAGGGTTTTGGCGCGGAAAGTTTGCGAGTTGGAGTTTACGATGGCGGGGCCTTCGAAAGGAATCCGTTCTGGCATCGGCTTCGCTAGGATCTCTGAATCTCTGAGGCTGTTGACCCGATTGGAAGTTTGACGTTTGTAGGAAATAAGTCCGGGAAGTTTAGTCAATGCCAGTTGGAAATTCTACTGTAGTGAGATCTGGTGCAGCGCGTTGAAGATTCGCACAGTCCCGAGAGTGTGTGCCGGGCATATGTATGTCTGCATGCACATGTACGTACATACATACATACATGCATACCTATACACTCATGTCATTAGTCCTACAAGGTTACTAGGAGCATTTCGTTAGTTGTTGGCGCATGTCTGTCAGGGAGACAGGGGAAGGTGGAGGTTGCACGTACCTGGGAGCAGTGGCTTCTTGTGTTGGCAAAGTCGAAGCATGGTTCATTGAGTCCTCTACCGGCGCCAATCGTCAGGTTTAAAGATAAACTGAGGCTCTGAGCTTCTTCTGGGTAGGCCTTTGGGACATTTCATATTCTCCCTCATTGGGCTTCAAAGAATCGTATTTATAATACCAATATTTTTCAGAGGCGTTGAGGGGCCAACCTAGTCTTGTATGTTCTTCTCTCAGATGCGTGTGATTTCGGAGATAAGCCAAATGTCGGCCCCAGGCTTCAGGCGGGTTTACGTTTCAGGTTTCAGGGTCTGCGGACTTTAGGACCTTAGGACTCTTACCACAGGGTTGTAGAAGCGTGGGAACTTTCTCCGGGGGCTTCAGGAGAGGTGATGATGAAGTCTGAACTTCAGGCTATTTGGGCTTTCTCTTTGTATTCGGGTCTGGTGAGTAGTTACTGGAATTCAAGACGCAGAGCCTTCTCACCTGCTAGTCCCTTCCACGCGGAAGATTCTGCGATTGCTTAGACCCGAGCGGGGCGCAGATTGATACAAAGTTGTAAAAAAGGACTCGGGCTGATGATGGGGTACGGGGCAATGGTAGTTAGCAATCATGTTTCCGTACCTGCCGATTTGCACGCACGCGCACACACGCTTGCACACCACGATGCGGTCCACTCGTGCCGTGCTTCGGAGGATCCCGAAGGCCATGTCAAAGGGGCGAGCCTGCGACCCTTTGCATAAACGGGGCGGGTAGCAGATGGATTTCGGGAGAATCTCAGCTTTCGCATGTTCATGACTTCTTTAAGCTGCGGATTCCTGGAGCCACACTTTACGCCCTTCACATAAGCCTACGAATCTCCACCAAGGATTTGTTCAGTAGAACCCTTAACCCTGACCGTAATACCCTGCATGAACCCGTGCGAGTGCTGAAACCCTCAAGTCAAAACCCTAGCAAATAGAATTAGTAGAACAGCTGCGACTCAACACAAAACAAGCTGCACACCCCAGCTGCAGAAGACGAACCACAGCCTGACGCTTACATGAGCTGCTGCAATGGATGAGATCGGCCAACGACCCGGCAGGCGGGGACGAGAGCCCTTGTTAGGACCCGGGATTCGATGTCATGACAACCTCCTGCTTTACCGGGTACGAGTTGTTGGTGTGTCTTGTGAAACAGGAGGGTGTCTTTGACCTCGAGTCCCCAACTGAAACCTGCAGCAACGTCCAACGAACTCCCTGCGGTGCGACTTTGGTCAGCTGGACGGGTGGAAAAAAACCCGCACGAACAACCTAAGCCGTAGAATCATCCATGAAAACCTCAGCCCAAACGACTTTGGTTGAAGACCCCGCTGTTGATGTCGACCTTCCGAGCGGTTCACTGAAGAGTTCAGACGTGTTGTACCTTCTGGGGGAAGGAGGCGACCCCGTCGTTGGTCCCCTGCTGCCACGGATTCCAGAACGCTTCGATGCTTGATTCCTGCTTGAAGGATTGAGGTTGAGACTCAGTCAAGGCATTCAGCTTGAAGCCATGAAGAGCCCATCCACCCCGGGCCCCAACCGCAGAACCGAACTCCCGCAAGCCTTTGAAATCGTAACCCTGTCACTTACCCAACAAGTTTTGAAAGCCGCAGAATCCTCGGCTCCCAAATTCCTAAACCGTAAGGCCCAGCAGCCTCTCCACATCCTTTCAACTCAGCAGTCCATGTAGGACTCAACTGCGGCCTTTCCGTGCAGTGTGCCAACAGAGCACGCATCAAGGAGCGGTGTGCCCGCATCTTACACTTTGGTCTTCCTCGGACGTATAGTAGCAACAGTAGCAGAAAGTAGAAATTTGGAGGAAGAATACAGTAATGGCAGTGGTGGTAGTAGTACTGGCACAGGTAGCAGTAGTAGCGGCAATAGTTAGTTGCTGTTTTCTTTGCCTTCTTCCTCGTCGTCGTGGTCGTCGTCGTACAGTAGTCGTCGTCGTCGTCGAAATCGTCGCGCAGTACGCTAGTCATCATACTACTTGGATACTCTGGTTCTCCGTCCTCTGATGCCCCCTCCTTTTCGACGATACTAATATTGCTGCTAGGGCAGAGTCTACTAGTATCAATGCAGCACTGTGGCATACTGACACTTCACGCCTCCTAATCTTCGACCCGGGGCAGCCCTTCAAGCCTCAGACCACAAAACACATCAAACTCCAAGCCCTGAGCCCTGAATTCTAAACCTGGAGCCCGGCACCCTTCAACTAGTTAAAGAGCTCAAACCCTTTCAGCAGAAAGGAGCCCCTAAAACAGATGAAAACCAGGAAGCTGAGTCGGCCCAGGTCCCTGGAGGCAGCTAGGTCCTGGCATCCGCGACCTCGATGTGAACCTGACCAGGCCGGAGTTGCAGCTCTTGGAGCTTTGTGGCTTCGTTTGCGGCTTCAGAATGTGGACCTCTGGGGCTTTTGAAGCTTGGCTGCTTCAGGGCTTGATCATATGCTAAGGCGGGTTCGCACACTCAGAGTTTAAGATTTCAGATGTGCGGATTCATGGAGGGCAGTGCTGGGGCTGTACGGTTTACACTTGATGCTTTGGGGACTTTGGGAGCATATGTTTGTGCATTTCAGGAGTTCGGCTCGGTTGGAGAATGTTGGGGATTGGGCAAAAGCGTTGGAGGATTATACGGCGACTTCTCAGCAATGGGGGCTCTACGTCCGTCTTGAGAAGCCCCTTCATTGTTGGCCCGATCTCGTTCATAGCAAGTGGGTCGCAAGATAACAATTGACAACGGATTTGTCCCCACCCAGGAACACGTTGACGCTGAGCGTCGAAACTGAGGTTTTAGGAATCTCGTCTCGTCTGCAGGGTTTCGCGGGAGAGCACAACAAAATTTCGCTTGCCTGGAAAGGACAGCCTTTTTTTCTGAGGACGTCACGTAAAACTTAATTCATGGCTTGTGCAGGCTGCTAAACATGGGCGAAACCCTCAAATTGCACCCCGTCCCGGCTGTGCGTGTTTTGAAATGAAGGCAATGCGCAAGTCCAGCGTGTGAGGCGCTGAAGTTCATCAACTCTGGATTAGGACATCTTTCTCTGGAGCCAGGCTGTGCGATGATCGAACAGGCCGGGGTTGCTGCGCATGGGTGGGTTCTCCCACGCGCCATGGCACCTGCTTCGAGTTGGTTTTGAGCACCTTAGTAGCTTTCACACGAGCATCCAAGCTGCGGTGTGTGAGACTAAGCAGCTGCCCAGATAATCGGAGTTTGCTGGATGCAGTCGCCCGCCATCCGACCAAAGCCCCCCCGAACGACACTCCTTTCGTGGCATGTGCGTTGCATGTTCAGGTGTACTCTATGTTTGCAATCGCACTCTGACGTGCATCCCTCAGGGGTGACATTGCCGGGTGGAGTGAAGACCGGATGGATGCTGCTAACCCAAACAAGCGAGCAAGTTGTCCTGTTAAGATGCTGTCTGGCAGCATTGAGAGATGGATTTTGCAGTCCTAGTCCGGCCAGTTAGTGTCATCATTCTAGAGCTAGGTGCCCTGTGCTTACTTCACTGTGACCTTGGCCGGAGGCTTTTGAGCGCAGGGCTTTTGGAGAGGGATCGTGGCATGCAACATGATTTCAGCCACTGGGGCTCACTCATGACGCAAGATGTCAGTACGGCATGATTCCGCTTCAGTGTTGTTGGTTGAAGTTGCATTGGATATGGACCCACCAACAATTTGCCGGCCTACCACGAGTCTGAGTGAGCCTGTGCATATACGCTAAGGAAACATGACCCAACTCAAGAACCCAAGAATTTTAAGAAATGCTGTTCCCGTTAGAGCACATTCCCTCCGAAACTTCTTGGATTTGACCGCCGCCGGATGGCCCTTGTGCCGTTCGGTGTCAAAGCAGCGTGTTCTTTAATTTGTGAATGTAGCCCATGACTCCGGCAAGACGGGAATCCAAGAAGATTGGTCTAAGCCTTCTCTGCAAGAACGTGCCTCATGAGATCCTGAAGCGACATGCCAAGCAATGGAAGCCCCGAAGAAGCCGTTGAGGCCCGCTTGCGACGATCTTTGCGACAGAGGCCTCGGTCCTCGGCCGCATGGTGGCAAGAGGAAAGGGTTTCAAGAAGTAAGGTGAACTGGCGGTATCAACGGGAAGCAGGTTCGTTGATAGAATGGTATGACAGGCGATGGAGGATGAAAGTTCGCAACCCGTTCCTTGACTAGAGTTGCTGGTTGGCTTGAGCATAAAATGAGTACATCAACTACTCAAACTTTGGGTAGCTCATAATGACAGGGCCGGGCCATACCATTCCCCTTCAGAAGGTTGCAGCATCCTTTAAAGGATGTGCAGGCAGCGCAGTAGGCACAAGATCGGCTGCTGATTTGCTCATAGATGCAGTTGCGGAGTCTTGGAGAAGCAGGGGTCATACAAGTAGTGGCAGTTCTCTCTTCTGGCCCCGTCGCATCCTCCCTTCTTCGAGCCTTGACCCGCAACCCCGGGCGCGAAGTACTTCTCGGATGACTGCACCTGCAGTGTCTGAAGCCTGAGGTTAGATAACCATGCTGCCTCTAGTATCTCTCCAGCATCTACATCTACATGACGCGCGTGAGCTATCCAGTTGTGGCGCATGTCGTCCTGCAGCGTCTTCGTGGACATGTGAATTTTCCCACTTGATTTCTCTCCGGTGACTGTGTCCGAAAAGGGTTAAGAGAGGCCACGTGCATTGAACCGCGCTTCTTTACGAGTTGGCATCAACATGTAGCTTGCAGCATGCCGCAAATTCCAAACTGGCGCAAAAGAGTTGCTTGTTGCAGCCATGTTCTTGCACCACAGAGTTGGTTCGGAAAGGCTCAGAAGGAATGAATCTGGGAGTTTCCGAAAATTAGGAGTACCTTATTTTGGGGTCCTTATTTAGGGTACTATATTAGGGTCCCCTATATTCGGAAACCCCCATCTAGCTCTGCAGAGAGGTACCACATGGGTTTCGCCTGTGACTTCCGAGAGCGTCTCAGACCTGCTGGCTGCCGAGGGCCCTCAGCCTGAACGACCTCCAGTCCTATCTGGCCGGATCCCAAGCAAAGCCGCAGCTCTCCGCTCACAGAAGCACAGCGATCTTGGGCTCCTGTGCTCTAGGTAGTGTTGCTGCCAGGGCCTGGCGCAGAAATGAGCTTTTGCTGCCGGAGGTCAGCCGTCCTGTGGGATGCAAGTAGGTCAACCCTTTCAGAGAAGAGGCGGCTGCAGGTGTGCGAGGCCGCGAGGCATTTAGGCACGGACTGCGGCCTCAAACTTCGTCCTTTCAACCCATTCTGGGCTTGTGTGAAGCTTCAAGCTGCAGTGGTCCTGGAGGGTTCCTTGGTCGTGTTGTTTTGCTCGCCGATCTGTGTGTGAGGAATCTTGTTCGTACACCTGCTTCGTGCCTGTGGCTTCAGGAAACGATTCAAGCCATCCATTCACACTGTCTACTTCTAGCCACAAGGCTTGGAGGCCCTGCGCCGGACATCTCTGACTCCTGGATAACCAGTACTGCACTCGCTTGGCGGCGCAGACAGACAAGTACTGAGGACTTCATCGTGTCCCACAATCCCTTCGGAGGCTTCGTGGCTGCATGCACTCATTGAGTTTGCAATGGCCTTGTTGGGGAACAAAGGCAGTGGAGTTTTCTGTCGTTGGGCCCCAAAGGGTTGTGGATGTGCTCTTTGGCGCGGGATTTGCTTTTGTTCGAGGGGCGCAGGCTAAAGTTAGTGAGGGTCGTTGATGGCGCAGGTTTCAGCTCGCCATCGGCAAGGTTTCATGATCTCCTTATCCAGGCCTCCATCGTCGGCCTTCTGTCAATGCATTTGCCACCACTTCCATGTCATTCCAGGAGGAACTTGTACCGCGCAAGATCTTATAGTGGACCCATAAGAACCAGAAAACGAAGGAGTACGAAAAATACCAAGAACACAGCAATCTCTGCTTCGTTCACTTCTTGGCAATGGCTCCTGATCTGCCCCTGCTTTGCGAGTTTGGTGGCATCATGCTAGCATCCAACAGCTGCTTTCCCTTTCATGACCACCTCTCCAGAGGCTGCCGGAGAGTCTGTATTACGTACTGACTACCGGTTGGGGCTGGCTTTCTCCCAGCCGACCTCTCCGGTATTGTCAGGCATGACCACGTCTTCCAAATCAGAGCTTCATTTTTGAAGAAAGACAAAGATTTCGAGGAATCAAGCCCCAGGGCCACTAAACTGCTCCGAAACCCTCGGAGCCAAAAGCAAAGACTTGGGAACTTCGCCCCACTCTTCTCGAACTCCCCCTGCGATGCGAGGTGCACCCTGAACCCTCGAGCCGAAATGGGTTTAGGGTTTAGGGTTTAGGGTTTAGGGAATGGTTTTCTGAGCCACAGCAGGTGATCTGGAGCCCTGGGACGTGCCCCAGGCTTATGGGGCTTGGGTCCTCAGGCCTTGATGGAGGCAACTAAAGCATGCGCAGCTCTTCCCTAAATTAAGCGCCTCGAATCTATAAGCCAACACAGCCGAGTAGGAGCAGCAAAGTGTGCACGGAGAGCTCAGCCTAAATCCTAATCCATGCTGGTGGCTGCACATTCTTTCCAATTGTCCTTTCTTTCATGAGCCGTGCAGGGTTTTCGGTTGCCAACCCGCTGGATAATTCCGTTGGGTTTGCCGGCGTAGCTTCGTTTTCCAAGTTGAGGGGAGCTGTACTGTCCATACGAATTGCTTGCTACTGTAAAGGGGCCTTTTGTAGATATCTCTCGATTTTAGAGAAGTGGGGTGGGGTGCCGGCAAAGGAAGCTGTGAGGTCTTTCAAAGCTCCGAGAGAGGCTGACAGATGTCGGACTGCTTCGTGCAGCTCGGTGATGTGAATTGTAACCAAAATCCATGATACCGAAATGGGAGTTTCCGAAAACAAGGGGTACCTTATATTGGGGTCCTTATGATAAAGATCCTACTATTTTGGGTACCATATTGGGCTCCCCTATTTTCGGAAACTCCCAAATTGCAATCCCGGAGAAGCATTGTCAACACCACAGGTGGACCTCACGGAGCCGGAAGCCTACGTTTTTGTCTCGCAGCGTGCGGCGGCCCAGTTGCTCTCAGCGGGTTCGGACGTGCACCGTGCGCCTATTTCCTTGAGGAACTGTGATTTGGTCTCACTTCTGCAAGAAAGAGACTCTTATGAATCGGCCTGAGGGCTTGGGAATTTCATACTTTACCGTCTACCGGCTGAAGACCCCACCACCCGACATGACAGGGAGACGACACATGCACAACCGTCGCCTGTGTGGTCCCCTCAGCTGTGTCCTCCATAGGTTCATTGCAAAACAATCAGCTGCTCTTGGTCGCTCACCTCTCTGTGCCTCTCTCTCTCGCTCTCTCCCGCTAGCTCTCATGAATGTGTGTACAGTATAATATATATATATATATATACACACACATATATATATATATATATATTTGTTTATTTATTTAAATTGTGATCGCAAAGTGGGTTTCCTAACTGCGCATCAGCCGATCAGCCGATGGTTGGTGTTGGTGTGTGTATGTATGTATGTACGTACGTACGTACGTACGTACGTACGTAGGCATGTATGTATGTATGTATGTATGTATGTATGTATGTATGAATGTATGAATGTATGTGTGTGTGAGGGGTGTGTGTGTGTGTGTGTGCGTGCGCGTGTGTGTTTGTCTGTCTGTCTGTCTGTCTGTCTGTTTGCCTGCCTGTCTGTCTGTCTGTCTGTCTGTCCGTGTGTCTGTGTGTGTGTGTGTGTTTGTTTGCGTGTCTGTGTTTGTGTTTGTAGGTGCATGTGCAACCTTTAAACATACACAACGTTTGTGTTTGTGTTCTTCCAATTGGGGAACTGTAAGGAAACTTGTATGCACATCTCCGATACACATATACACACATATATATATATATATATACAGAATGAACAGTGAGAGAGAGAAATAGATAGATAGATAGATAGATAGATAAAGCTATGTATGGAAGCAATGTGATGTAATGCGATGTCATGTGAATATTGTAATGTAATGTAAGGTGTTGTGATTCAAGTTGTGATCTAATAACTGTAATGTAATGTAATGTAGCGCAATGTAATGCAGTGTCATGTAATGTAATGTAAGTTTCATGTAATGTATGCTAGATAGATATCTGTTGAAATGCCTTGCTTCAAGTCTGGACTTACGTGCGCACGTGTCGGCATGTATGTGCATATGCATATACAGCCCAGGATATAATTGCATATACATATACACATGCGCACATAGCGAGAGACAGAGAGAGAGAGAGTGTGTGTGTGTGTAAGAGAGAACTAGGTTCAAGACGGTGAGTTCTTTACAAGGCAGGGAGGCCTAAAATGGACAAACAATCAAACATAACACACCATCTAACGAACTCCAAGACTGGAATGAACAAAAAAACAACAAGGCCGGACCAAAAACGTTGAAAAAACACCAAATAATGAGTAAAGCAAGCCCGGACAGAGTAAAAAGACTGCAGTCATGAGGAGTGTGTCGCGGGTCGAGCTGGGCAGTAAGGGCAGCAGTCGAGTCCCTTGTCACACAAGAGTGTAAAGACTTGTCACCAAAATGGTAGAAAGATGACGAAACAGAATAGACAACTGGACAGGACCCCCCACAATTCAAACACTATCAAACCATGAAGCGAATCATAGGACAACATGAGCCGGATGCCAAGAATGGAAGGCAATGACATACATCAAAACAGAATAGAAAAACTGACTGGACCCCGCAAACGAAAGCAACCGACAACAATCGAATACATACATGAAAGACCGGACTCCGAAATCCAGGCAATGGCGTCACCTTTTTTGATTGCTGATCTAATTTTTCGCTCCATGTACAGTATTTCCATATCTCTGCAAGACTTCCCCCGGGCCCCGAACTAGCCCAGACAAGCAGATTCGTTCAATCATCGACAGTTCGAAGTCTTTGTTTCGCCGGCGTTCTTTCTCTCGCTGTCTCTCAACAGACCTTTCAAACGACTATATATGCACGTCTACAGAGGTTTAGCCCGGCATAGACTTGCAGGTCAGGCGCTGTACACAGCGCTCCGCACTCTGGCTCTGAAGCTTCGTGATCCAGCTTCGCAAGCCCTTGCCCAAGGGCTTGCAGCATCCTTTAACGTAGATCGTCCCGCAAAGGAGTTTTGAAATGGATTCTTCGAGCGTTCACGGGGTTCTGGTTTTCTTTGCATCCAGCTCTGGTGGGCTTGGGTGTATATGTAGCATATCTGTATGTGGCTGCTTCCAACATATGACCATGCGACTTGAGTTTGGATTGGAATTCTACTGTGCACGGCTTCAGGTACGACCTTTGAGCTGCTATTTCGAGTCTAGTCCAAGGTTCAGGGTGTTCTTGATGTGCGTGTGGATCGGCAATTTCAGACTTGAGTAGTAAGAGATCAGACTCCCAGCTGATCAGTGCCATGCCTGCGCAAAGAGCTTGGCTCGCTTCGCTGCTCGGGGGCTCGACATCTCAGCTTCAATCGATAATCGCTGTTTGTCTTCAGTTTGCTCAATCAGGGCTCCATATGAAAGCAAAAGCTCGAAATGGCTGGGAGGCACCAAGACTTCACTCTAAGTCAAGTTCGCGCTTGTTGCACGACCCTACACTCTAAACCCTGAACCGCCTTGTTTCAGAGCCTTGTGCTACTAGCCATGGGCGCTTCCCACTCGGAACCAGATCCGGCCGGGGCGGAAACTGAGGACAGGCCGAGCATCAATGGAACCGTTAGCGCATATGTTAGTATGTTTATGTCAGAGCCTACATTACATGTAACCAGCTAGGAAGTGTCTGGGTCCAGGAAGTGGAGCCGAAGCCCAGATGCGAAAAGAGCCTCTTGTCAGGACAACTCGTCACAGGAAGTCATCGCCCAGGCGCGTCCGACATCCGGTCAGTAGTTTCGCTCTGTCCACTATTGCAAGCACGGGAGGAGGGGTTTCAACAAATTTAGAGCCTCTTCCTTAAGGGCCTTCGCAATAGGATGCTGTCACTGTATTTCAGAGTTCATCTAGGGTCAAAAACCAAGGCGAGCTGAACACAGCAAACCCACGTTTGACTTGAGTAAGCAAGCGAAGTGTAACACATTGGGCTTGGTCTAAACTTCGAAGCTCAGGCATCATGTCATGGGCTAATCTTATGGCTGCTGCGAGGAAGATTCCTATGTCACTTCACTTCTTCCTGCTGCTGCTGCTGCAAGATTCAGGCTGCAGCTCTAAGAGTTGTGACAGTCGTGACCGTTCTCTTCCCGCCGTGCGGAGGTCGAGTCGTGGATTCAAGCGCACCCCGTCTTCGAGACGGTCATCACTGGAGCGTGCCTTGCACAGCGGAATTGGCCCTCGCTGGTTCCTGAGATCAACAGTTTAAGGTTGCAAGAGCACTGTCCTGTTCAGATGTTCGGCTAAAGAGCAGACCAACGCTACTAGCTTCCCAGGGCCTAAGTCTTTTCAGTCATGCCCTGTGCCCGAGCCCTAAATGGTGCAGCTTCTCTCGACGGATCTGTGTGGAGCCTTGCCTGCCTTGTGCGAGAGTGAGAGTCGAACATGGTGCAGCACATGGCCCCATGGTGCAGGAAGCTCAAATGCTCTGCTTGCCCAGTCGTTCCACATGCATACCAGAACCTTGGCATACTTCAGCGTGAAGCTCATGAGGTGTACTGGGTCGATGTGATGTTATGTCCCGCTGCTCTGCGACCATGGTGCTGGGCAACTCAGCAATATGACCATGATCTCAATAGTTGGCATGTGCGGCCAACTGCCGCTATTCATCATGCAGGCAGTTGATGAAGGGCTTTCCAATACACAATAAGAAAAAGAGCAACAATGGGGCAGGCAGCCTACAGTCACGACATGTCACGACACTGCTTGTGGTAGCTCTAGCACGTGCCAAACCTTCAACCAGCGTCCGGAGACCAATTTTCGAACAGCCGCACACGGCTTTAAACTGAGAATTTGAAGCGCTTCGAGTCTTTGCACCCCAGTCAACAAGCGCATAGAGGGACGGATGTGTAGTGAGGTCGGCATTGACGGACGACAGCTTTGGCATTAGCTTCAAGCAGCCGCTTACAGGAACAGAGAGCCCCCAGCCTGAGTTAACTTCGGGTTTGAGAAGGTTTGGGTTTCGAGGCTGCCGGCACGGATTTTGGGCAGGCGGGCCACGGTGGTGCAAGTTCTGACTTTAATCATGTTGGGGGCCATCTTGAGACACCCTACGCTGGGAGTTGCAGCTGTTAGAGCCCCCAAAACCCCCAAGCCTAGGCCCATAAGCCGAAGACCGCAAGCCAAGAGCCGAAGACTCTGCGAGGGTCCGACAAGGCTTTAGCTTCGGTGTCGGGGGTCCAGCACGAAGTTTGACATCGAGTCCTTCTGTCAAATCTTGCGAAGGTGGTGTTGTACAACAGACCTGGACGCATGCGGCATGCCTCGTCATGCCTTTAGCGCTAGATGATGGCTACTACAACATCGAGGTTGAACATCGAGCCGAGCTTGTCATTGGCGATGTTCTTCCCTTACACGCCGTACGGCCCTACATGAGTGGAGTACGGGGTCGCTTACGACATGATGTAATATCCTTCGCCGCATGCAGACAAAAACTCATCAACCGCCTGACGAAAGTGAGGACTGGAGGAGATCCAGGTGGGAGCGGCCTCAATGGCGTAGAATTGAGGGGGTTTCGAGTTTGCAAGGCTCAATAAAAACAGTGGCATTGAGGTCTATGAGGTTCTGGCGTTCTCAGAGCTTGCAGCGTTGTACCTCGCGTGGAGGGTGCAAGAAGGTGAGGTGCTTGCAGTCTGGACCCGAACGGCAGGCTTTCACGCCATGGTGCCGGCTCAGTGAAGGGGAGCTCCAGCCTTCCCGGTTTAGGGTTTAGGGTTTAGGGTTTAGGGTTTAGGGTTTAGGTTTGGTCCCCAAGCAAATTTTGAAGTACAGACTTACGTCCAGCAGTTCTCCTGCCACAGCGCTTGAAACCCTGGACCCGGCATATCGGCCTGCTCCTATCTCTGAAGCCTGAATAAACTCTTCAAGCCCGAATTCTAAAACCAGTGCTCCAGGTAGTCAGATACTTTCCGGTTCCCACAACCCAACCACAGCTCAACCACAGCTCAGCTGTAGAAGGCGCACTAGTCCAAAACAGTCTCCAACTTCAGCAGAACACAACACCCTTCGGAGGACCTGGGGCCCAGAAACCTTCAAGAACCACCCACCAATCCGATCTAAAGACATTTTAATTCGGGGGGGCGGGGGGGGGGGGGGATCCGCAGGCGAAAGTCGACTACCTTTGGGTGCAGAGATTAGAGCTTCCTATGCACATGGCGCCTTGGCTGGCAGGTTTTGCGGGCATTAAGCTGAGACGGCTTTCCTGGCGCTTCTTAATGGTTTATGCTGAATGGTGCTTGGGCTTTCAGGTGATCTCGAAGTCAGGCTTTCTGTGGTTTAGAGTTGTTTAGGACGTCTTCTGTGCGCGAAGCTACGAAGGGTCCATGATCCCCTACTGTCCACCGGAGCCATGAAGCCAAAGCCGCGGACAACGACATAGACAGAGCGCAACTTATCGATAGCGAGAACGTCGAAGAAAGGCACCAGGAGAGGACTCATGAGATGAAGCGAACACGATTGAACCCGTTTTTCGGCCCACAAAAAGACCCTAAACTATACGCTACCCTAAAGTCTCAACCAAGAAGCGGCAATGGAATATCGGAGTTTCAAGCCGTACTACTTTTCGTGTACAGTGATTGGAAACGAAAAAATACAAGGCCGCCAACGTTTATTCTGATTCTTGCTATCGCTGTCATAGTCGCAGAAGGTTCGTCCCGGTTCCTTTCTGAGGTTTGGTTGAAGTGTTGGAGCCCTCTGAAAACGGAACACTATAGATAAGCCCCATGCTCATGGGTCCTACAGAACCGATCTACCGCCGTATATCCTAAGACCCTCACACCCCAAGCCCTGAATATCTGTGTGCATATAGTTATAGAAGTATTTGTGTGTTTGCTTATGTCTTTAGCCGCTTATTTGATGACTCAATTATGCATCTGTTTATTTGTTTCGGTTTTTTGTGTAAAAGTGCATAAGTATATACATATACGTAGTAAATGTATGTGTGCTAATGTGTATATATATATATA